GTGAGGTATGGTATGTATGTGTATATTGTGGTATGCATGGTGTGTATTGCATGTGTGGATGATGTGCATGCTATGTCTGGCGCGTGTGATTGTTGCATGCGGCTCATGTGACCAAGCAATGGTAATGCCCCAATCCACTTCCTTTTTTTGACTTGATGATGCGAGATCATCTCAGGTCGTTCCCCTATTGCACGATCGTAGCTATTGCCACGCGTTTTGAATTTCACTAAACTAACTCTGTGTGTTGGTCGTCTTCTTCTCGAGTTCCTCACCAACTTGCTCCATTCGAATGCCCAATTGTTCACATTGACAATCGAAGGCGATGCAGCGCAGGTTGCATTGGTCAGGCCTTCCAGGTATACTGTGCAAAATAATGTAGTCACTACTGGTTTGTGTTTGCAGGTATTCAGATCCAACAAAAGTCAAAAAATGTAAAATCTACCAAACAAAATCAAGGTGACTCTTCCAAGTAGGGTTCAATCTGGTTCAGCCAACAGCTCAAACATAGGTATTCATATCGAATGGCTTTCAACTTGCGCTCGAGCTGTTCAATTGAACAGTTTGCAATCTTTGCAAGCACCGTCATGGCTTAACCACACTAACCACACCGGTATACTTGAGAAACAAAAGCTGTTAGACATCCAACGACATGTCTTCACCAATTGATGTGTTGGGTTGGTCACAGTTTGGCACCTGCTGCCCACCACGTTTTCGCCTTTTTTCTCGTGCTGTAGATTGTTGAGTTGTTTTCTGCCATGCTTTACCCCAGCATGCGCACACATCTTCTATCACAAGTTTGCTACTGAAAAGCACGGTTGGTATCACAACCGTGATTGGAATCACAAAATCTTCACAGTTGGCATGAACATCTAAGCCACTAAATCTGGAGTCCCTGGCGGCCGGCTTGGAACGCAGCTCGCTCACTGGAGTGCATCCATTCTCGGTGGGCGTCTTTGATCGTGGCATTTGGAGTCTCAGCCAAAAACTTCCTCACCTTGGTTGTGTTTTGTGTTGGAAGCAATCATCGGTGGTTTCACGCCAAATTATTGAAGGAAACATATGGCAATAATGACGTTTGAAATCACAAAAGTGACTAAACCAAATCCAAGCCACAAAGGTCCAGCGAACATCGTTCAATGTTGCGGCACTGGGAAGGGCATCTGCATTAGGAACTGGGGGAGCCTCTTCATCTGCATTGGGAACGTCTTCGTGTTCTTCACGTGAGCCTTTCAATACCTGGTTGACATCTACACTTCTGAGACTTCTGAGAAAACCATCATAAATTCAGCAAGAAAACTTGTGCAACAAAACATTCCACTTAAAGGAGGACAACTTACTAGATAAAACTGATATCAAAGGCACGCCTTTGGATTCAAACTTTGCATGCCAACGCCGAGAATTTGCCCTCTTGCGTTCAAGCCGTTCATTCTTGATCTTGTTGACCTCCTGCGCATTCATACCTGGAGTAATTTTGACGCCCTTGAATTTCTTCGAAGCTGGCTCCGCTGTATTTGCTTCATCCTGGCTTTGCTGTGTTTGTTTAGAAGAAATTTGATTGAATTTCAACGTTAGCTCTAATCTTGTTATAAGTAAACAAGATTGGTGGCATCCTTGAAACAAACCACCCTTGCATAAATTCTCAATGTTTACACAAACACCAGGCCTCTGCTGGACCACTGGGTAACTCTGCAGGTTCCTTTGCAGGTTCCTCTGCAGGTTCCTCTTCTTCAATCTCAAGTCCCGGTTGTTCAAGGATAGGTTCAAGGTCAGCTGGAGCAAGTCGATCATTCAAATGACGGGATCGTTTTGGCGCAGCTTTGCAAGCCTATGGTGGGTGTGCTGCATCCATCCACCCCCTCGTATCTACCAGAACTCCGCAAAGGTGGGAGGTACACAAACATATAAAAATAAAAACTGATTGAAAACACACATCAGTAGACCAACAGTCGAACAGGATTGGGATTGGGATGAGAAGCTTCCTCACGTGCTGGTTCCATAGGCACCATTCCATCATCATTCTTAAAGGTAAGCGTAGACTCAGGGGCTGGCTCCACATGTTGTGCATCATTTACAGCAGATGGTGCCTTGTCCGGAACCATCACCACCCAAACGACAACACCAACAACAACAATATCAACAACCAACACAACCATATCAGCAATATGAACAGCTGCAACAGCAAAATGAGAATTCGATAGACAAGCTGCTGCATCCTCTTTCCAATCGGTGAATGGACCAGTTAGTATCGTGTTGCCAAAATCATCTTGACTATCGTTTTCAAAGTAGGGGTAGGCCTGCTTGGCATAGTCAGAATAGTCTCGAGGTGACAAAGGTGGCTCCTTCTGCAATGGTCGCGCAATCGTCTCAACTGGCATGGCCATAATATCCTGCACTTGTCAAATACTGGTCCAACAAATTGCAACAACATACATACAAGCAAATACAACAAACATAAAGAAAGAACGAAAACATTGGGCCTCCCCCCTCCAAAAAATCATGCTCCTTAGCTACCATAAACTTCTTGACGTCTGAGCTGACTTGGAAACTCATCACCTGAGTTGGAGCACCTTCCAACATGATGTTGGTCAACTTGTTTGAACTTCTGCTGCTGGAACTGGCATCAGGAGCATCTGGCTTCAACTTCTTCGAAGCACTGGAAAGCACGGGCTCGCTGGAAGATTGGGAGTTGCCCAGTGTAGCATTGGACAGGTGCTTGTTCAACAGCCCGGTGTTGGCCACTGAGGAATCAATGTCCAAGTCAATGATGTCAGAGAATTCCATGGCTCAAAGCTGTTCCAAACCACTGAAACGAAAACTGAAATCTCTCTGAGCAGAAGTGCAAAATAATATCAATCTATATTTCTCAACTCTGATCAACACCCGTCATATATCCTTTTTTGAACCCTGTGGTGCCCCCCACCTGGGTTTAGTGACCTGGCAAACTGCGTTGCTCTAGGTTGAATCCACACAGCCAACCATGTTGGCAGCTCCTGCCGACTTGGCAAGATGCATCAAAATGCAAAATCGCCCTTTTGACCAGACTGTCTCACAAACAAGTTGGCGCAGTTGTTGTTTGATTTAGTGCTGATCCCATAAACTAAACACTCTAGAAGTGCAATAGTTTTAAAGCATATCACACGCGATGAACATCCTGGCCAAAGTAGGGACCTAACAAACCTGGTAAACACTTCCAGCATCAGCAGTGAACCCACTGCCACGCAAATACCATAGAGGTTTCGCGGGGCCCACCACTTTCTCACGTGCAAAATGCCTCACTCCTAAATGGATTGAAGTGGAACATGCAAAACAGAAAGGTGTAGGAACCAACCACCACCAATGAAATAAGCAAAGTATCAAAAGGAAAATGCGTTAAAACTAACACCGAGGTTCGCCATACCAGTTGGAGATGCTGGCTTGCTTGAAGGCTCTTGTAACCGAGCAAACCAGCAACGTTGGTTGCCTTGCACTGCTTGGCAGTGACAGCGTTGGGCTTGAACACGCTATGAGCTTCATGCTGGACCTCGAGTCGGTCTGCCTCTTCGCCCCTCCGCACTGCCGGTGGCCGCTCGATGCTGTGACCAGTCACTTTCAGATCCAAAATGCCTCTCTTCTCAAAAGAATGGATCATATGGTAGATCGTCATGGGCGCAGTGTCTTGCGTACCCTGGGAGGTCGTTTCCTCCAAGACTACCTTGGCTAAACGCATGCCATTGTAAAGTTTTGACATGTGTCGAACACATATTGAAAACAACATCCAATCCATTCCCGAAAAAACTTTCCTAAACTTGGAACTAGAAACCATCGAATCACTGGATTCCAAGCGAAATTCCACAGCTTTGTTCTCATTGGCTGGCTTTCCCAAGTACTCCTGCGCCTGATCTGTTGCATGACAGACATTGGGTCAACAAATGTATACAATCACATAGAAAAGCATTAAATGTATATTATAAATAAATATATATATATATAAATATGTGGGTGTATTTATCTTTAATCTTTACTGGCCCGAAGAACAATGAATGGAACACTTGTTGGTTTTGAGATCACCAAGCCTTGGCAGACTCACTGATCCAACTTCCACCAGCATACATGAACAAAGGCTTCGCAGTCTCTCCAGATTGAACTCCTGGAAGGATGACCTTCGACTGACTGCTCAAAAAGGCATTGGCTCCGACCACATAGCAGGTGATGTTCACTCCAGCACCAAGGGTCAAAGTGATGGTTGCATCAGGATTTGGGTACTTCTGTTGGAACTCATTTGCGGTCATCTTGGCCGGTTCCGGGCATGTCACCACAGCAGCAGGGGGGAGGAGCTGGAGCTTCCTGCGCCAAGTCAACATCTGCAGCAGCGGCCTGTGGGTTAGGTCGATCTCCAGAGGATAGGGGCTGGCTGAAGACTGAATCGAAGTTCTTCAGCCGCACTCGCCAATCAGGATCTTAGAGGAACAATGTGCAAACAACTTTTAACAAACAATCTTGACCAAAAAACAAACAGCTTCAACCAAACCACCTGTGGCACAGTCAAGTATCTCCGAACTGGATCGCTCAGCCACTTGTCACGAACTTCTTTGGGAATGGCCATATTGCCAGCATCATCCATTTTGCACATTTTCAGCTGCGGTTGACGGGGTGCTGCGTGTTCACAAAGGTCTGCTTGCGCTTGAAACTTTGGGGTCATGAGCCCAATCTGACCCTTTCCTTGCTTCCATTCCTCAAGGGGTTGATGAAACAGTGGCTGATGCTGAAATAGATTCTAATGTTTTACCATGTGTTACCCTTAGAAAACATACATTTTGACAACTGGTCCTCCAAAAGCTTGTCTTTCACCCCTGTGACGGCATACTGGAAGATGGGTGGGCTGGTCGTCTCGCTGAACCCTGCCAGGTGGCATTCCTGCTGCAATTCGTTCATCAGATCCACCAGCACCTGCAATGATGTCAACATTGGAACAAACTTCATGTCTCAACAACATTGTTTCAACAACCGTTGAATATGCTTCATGTTTCAACAACATTGTTTCAACAACTTTGAAAGGGCCCAGCCTTCTCGAAGACACCATCGTACATGGTTTGGTGCTGCACCACCAACAATTGGCCCTTCAGCGTGCTGACGCGGGATAAACAGCCCTCAAGGATGGAGCGGATTGTTGACGCGGATGCAAACCATTGCGCCCCTTCCTGCTTGTCCTGAACGATCAGGAATTATGAGAGTGAGAGACACTCACACTTTGTAAGTAAGAAACTCTACTCCATATATACCTTACAAAGTGAGGAAGTTTCCATAACTGAAAACATTAAACTTAAAGCTTCACGCAAATGCATTGAAGTTTCTGTCAGCGATCGCCCTTGTTCATGTGTAAAAAAATGTACCACTCTCCGGTGTGACATAGTCACCTCAAATTGCTTTAGTTTGGGCATTGGTGTGGACTGGTTATGCAAACACTGGGATCTGCAAGTTGAAATAAACATATGATGAATTTTGCCAAGTCTCTGACAGGCAAAGGTGTGGACTGAGCACAGACAAGGCTGTTCCAAAAGTCTGATTTGGCCCAAACGTTGTCATCTGCCAACTTCCTCTCAGCGTTCCTCGGGGCCTTGTATAGAGTCCCTTGTCTCGCTCCAAGCGTGGTATCCAATACGACCATGTATCCAGGCAATGCCCGAGGAAATGTCCTGATGGATGATGAAAGGATCATTCTTTAGGATCATACTGGTAGAGTCGAAGCAACATGAACCAACCAAACAAAAGTTTGGGCGAAATCAAACCGCTTTAAAATACACTGTTAATTGTGGCAAAGTCACCGGTTCCCCTGGCAGGAAGATGTGTCAAACAAGACCTGAACCAGTTTCGCCTCCATCTGCATGTCACTCAGCTTGTTCTCAAGTCGCCTGGTCAGGCTGTGAGAACTCTAAGAATGGTCAAACCATGTTCCGAACATACATGCATGCATACATGTATACACACTAGTGCATTGTACATGATAAATTTGTTTCAACATGTGCTGTATGAGTTTTTGTTTCATATACCTCTAGGCCTATAGGACATGCAAATGACTACACTTTAACACCCAACATGTTTTCGACAGAGTGAATAGTGCCTCATCTCCCCGCGGATGCCAGCGATCACACCATCACCAGCCAAAACAGGAGCACATATGAAGACCATGCCTTGCAAATGTATGAAACAGAGTACAGGCTAGGCTAGAACATAGAGAATAAGCAGGGGTGTGAATCTGACCAAAAGTAGTGATCAATTGGGCCATGAAACTGTAGTTGGGGTTCTGGTTCAGCAATTGATGGCACCAATTGGCGATCTCGTTCACCGCAATGGCCGACAGCCGCCCATACTTCGTTAAGTCTGTGAACCCCAGGTAGTGTGTCTTGTTGACATCTGTCGCATCGAAGCGTTGGCCAGCGTCTGCTAATGATCTCCGGATCAGTCCCCCGAAGCTTTGGCTGAGGTTTTTGTCGCTGCAAAGCATAAGGAGCCTTCTTTCCATAAAAGAATCAGCGACTCCCAATCCAGCTTGGATTTGATCCCGCATATGCAGCACCTTACCAAAGTTTGTTTGATCACACAAGTTCTGTTGTTGCCTACAACTTACAACCCAAACATTGTTAAAAACAAACAGCACAATGCCCCCATGAATGAAAACGTTGCCAAGTATTTTGCTTCGGCACCTGGGTCACATGACGGCTGGACTCCACCTGTCTTAACAGGGATGAGACAGCACAAGAGCTGGTGTATATAATATTATTAATTTTGTCGTGGCTAACTCTTTTGACCAGCCCTGCCTTGTTTCTGCGAAGGTTGAATCCAACCGCTTCACGGTAGTCATGTGACAAATTGGCACATACAACCCCATACTCTGCCATTCGGAGCTTTTCCTCCAGGATTATGAGTAATATCCTTCAATTTCTTTTGCACACACATTGACCTATTGTTCATTGATAAACAATAGTTCTAAATTAAACTAACACGAACCAAGCAAACAAAGACAACAAAAATCAATCAAACAAAAATGGATTGGTCCTCAGCTTCATCCACAGTAGCATCGGTGTCATTTGTTGGTGCTTGTCCAGCAGGTTTCAGCAGAGCACGACCCACGTGGTCCTGCCACATCCCTGTCATCTCTGGTGTAAATTTGACAGGCTTTGCAACCAAGATGGCATCAAGATCCTGGCTGTAGTCCCTGAGTCGAGCGAATCAAGTTGGATAAACACATGCAATTTTGCCGTGAACTCAAACCCAACCCAAAAAAACTATAACCTAGGATGGCTGCAAACAAAGCACCCATTGAGAAAGGCAGTGGTCATTCCATCAATCATCTCACCAGTCACTTGGGCATCGTCTTGGCAATGGCGAAGAACAAAGACAAAGATGCAACACTGATTGACATTTGTTGTCCATTGGTCCTCCGTCCATCGGATGCGGACTCGCATGGACTTCTTGACTCTCCGTGAGTTGATGCTCCACCAGTGGTTGTACTTTCGGAAGTGCAGCTGTTGAACATCTGGTGTCACCTCGGCTCAGCATCAGTCTCGCTACATTTTATGTTGGACTCTTCTAGAACGAATCAATAAATGATGAATTAAAATTGAAAAAATTGGCTCAAATCAGGTCGGACACTGTCAAAAGCTTCTCCCAGAAAGGCGACAGACCCTTGGGGGCATTGTTGAGCATATGCCTTTTGAGACGCAAGATCGTTTCGCTGTAGCCTGCAGGGACTTGCTGCCCCTCCCCAAACAATGCAAATCACCAAAGCAAATAAAAACATGTGATCAAAACTAGCAGAGGCACCTGACTCCTCCCACTTGTTGTGGTCGAGGTGACTTCTCAGAAGGGATCTGGAAGTCTCAGTCATTCCTATGATGATGCACCATACTGCTTGATGTCCATCAGAAGTGATTTGCCACTTGCGAAGAGCACTGTTGGCGCGGAAAGAGTTGTACTTGCAAATCAGGTCACTCAACAATTCCTCCTCGTTCTTCTCCTTTGCGCTCTCGCAAAGCTGCCGCTCTTTGATCAAGCCTTCGAATCGAGCTGCTAGCTTGAGAACCTTGACTGAACATGCTTCTAATCAGTGAACCCCAACCAGTTTTTTGATTTGTGAGGTATTGGATTCACAACAAAACAATACTGAGCATCAAACGTCCTTACGTTGTCGCTCTGCCCCCCTGCGTAGAGAGTTGGATCCCCTCGAAACACACAGTTTCTTGATCACTGCAGTTGGCAATGTTGCAGGGTAAGTTGAAGAAATCCCCAATCGCAGGCAGCAAGCATGTGATCAAGTCCTTCAGGGCTTGAACATTGTTAGGTTGTATGCTTAAAAGAAGGGTTGGGTGAAAACATTCTTTAGAGTCCTTCCCAGCAATGGGGTCAACGTCTGAAGCCACCAGCAAAATAAATAGGCCGGCAGTCCTGAATGTAGAAAGCGAAACATTTCCCCCTAGATTGCAAACAGGAAATGTATGTAATTATGGAATGCAGGCTATCTAAGGTTGAAAGAAGGAAAAAACTATAATGAATATGGGCCAACCAAGCAGCAGCCGTGTAAACCCTTTCTTCACTTGCAAGAACGGTTCTGCAGGCGGGCTGATTGGAACCTTCCCTGGGATATTCAAATCCAGGGGCTCTCTGTAGAGCAAGCTGCCACTGAACAAGAATGACAGGCACGTCGTAATCCAATCTTCTATGCAAGGCATGTCATCAGGGCGCCCAATGATGATTGAACTCAATGGGACATGTGCACTCAAGCGCTCAACAAGTTCGAGCTTGGAAACATCCTAGGTTGATTTCATGGAAATTCAAAACATGAATATATATAATATATACATCAAATAGTTGGAAACATAGTAAAAGCAACAGGTTACCACTTAGTGTATGCGCCAAGGCACAGGGACCGATGCAAGCTTCATTTTCTTTTCATGCATCTTCATGGCTTCTTCCAAGAATATCCTGAGCTTCTCATTGGTGGACTTGGCAACCTCTGGGCTTTTGAAGGCATCCAACACCAAGTTTGCTGGATGTGAAAGTTCTGAGCCTGTACCAGCACCGCTCGCAGGTTCCACGAAGAGGGCTAAATAGGCAAGAATGTCCTGATGAAACTGAGACCCTGAAGACATCACATCATCATCATTACCATCATCCAGCAATGTGTGCATCATTCAAAAGTTAAAACACGAAAACGGGTTCCATTCACCCCCCTCCTATCTGTTCATGATTCAATTTTCAACATCAAAACATTTCCCATTCACCCAGCCTTGGCAAACGTGACATCACCAGGCATTTTCTTCAAGGCAGCCTGCCACTCGGTCTTCCGCTTCTTAGTAGCAGCACTCTCTGCCTCAACCTTCACCTGACAAACAATTGAAGCCAGGGAAATCCTTCTAGGCCAGACCTCAAGGAAACAAAAAAGAACGAGAACCACAAAAAGTAATAACATACAGCTCCAAAATCACAATTGCAAGTAAGTTATCTCTGAGTGGCTTCTGCCTTCGCTTCACTTTTGACAATGGCCTTTTCCTCATCAGCCTTCGCATCAGTCTTCACGTCAGTCTTCACTTCATTCTTGGCATTGGGGCAGAGTCCCAGGGCAAGTTGAGCTGCGGCAACCCCGGCACGAAGGAGTGGTGATTCCATGGCAGCGAGGAAAGGTCAAAGTAGAAATACAAACAAACAATCCAAAGCAGATCATCATGTAGGGGGGCCCAAGTTCGGCGTAGGTTTCATGTCCCCAAGTTTGGCGTAGGTTTCATGTCCCCAAGTTCGGCGTAGGTTTCATCCCCTCAAGTTCGTCGTAGGTGAGGTTTTTTTGCCCTAAGTTCGTCGTAGGTGGCCATGTTTGGGCCCAAAGTCGGCGTTGTTCTGGATCCGACCTACAAGGAACTTGTCTGCTGACGTTGACGTTTGGGGTCCCACCTACAAGGCAACCTGTGGACGCTAGCAATGATCAAAGTCCTTGTAGTAGACCCCCCTGACTACAAGGATCCATGAAGGACTTTAGTAGACCTACAAGGAACTTGACTTTTCTCAACTTCCCAAGTTTGGTGTAGGTCTTCTAAATCTCTTCTAAGTCCTTGTAGTCAGGGGGGTCTACTACAAGGAACTTGTGGACGCTAGCAATGATCAAATTCGGCGTAGGTGGCATTGAAACGTACGTTCAAGGCCTTGTTTTTTGGTTCCAGGTTCAGCCTTGGCCAAAGTCGGCGTAGGTGGCATTGAAACGTATGCTCAAGGCCTTGCTTTGAGCACGAGGTTCAACCTTGGCCGGTGAGGAGGGGACCTAGGTGAACTCCAGGTCTTGCTCTCTAAAGTCTAAAGCTATCATTTCCATACAAAAAAAGTTTCAGAATGATGTCTGATTTCCAGGAAGGAATGATGGTGCATTGACATCTGCTTTTCAGAGCCTCAGCATCTAGGTGTTTTTCGCACGGCACGGCTATTGTTTGCTCATGTTTGGAAACGTCTCAGCTATTATGTTGATTCACAAGTAACACCAATGAACGTTATATAACATGCTATACCAAGGTGAAAGGCCAGAGCCCTTTCCATGCCATCAACGACGCTTCCAAACAGCTCGCAATGGTACTGATGGACACAGGGTGGCTAGTACCACTGGATGGGGTTCTTCCCTGGCCTGAGGCATCACATGGATTGGCCCATCTGTCTCATGCCACTCCAATGGAGGTGGCTCATCTGATGGTAAAGTACAGCTGGCCAAGTTATTCAGGTATGAAGATGCCTGTTGACTGCTGGCACTTCCTCCAAGCAAGCGTACAAAGATAGCTGCAAGGTCTCGCCACTGCTTTGCGGTTTGGGGAGCCACTGGTCTGAAAGGCATCATACCTTAGGCTACTCTGACGCCAACACAACGGCGCCCCAACAAACTGCCTTCTGGAAAAAAATGAAACAACAAAAATACTTTTGGAAATCAAACATGTTCACTATATGAAACAGCTCTGGGACAGTTTGTTTTGAGAGGAAATGTCATTCTTGATGCAGGGGTCATCACAAGAAGAGGTGACTGACGCAGGTTGCTTGATGATATATATTCTTTGACCAAGACAAAGACATCTTCACCAAGTTTTTTCTCTTCGAGCATTTGTCCCTTCGTCAGTCTCGTAGCTGTCAGGTAGATCTGCAAGGGTGTTTCAAGAGGCAAATGATTTGGATCAGCAAATCAGGATTTAGATTATTTTAGATTTGTTTGGTTCCATGACATGGTTTCCAAGTAGGGGAAGTTAAACTTTGACCAAAGGCAACTGTGTTTTGTTTCAGGCTCATTGCCTCTTCGACGGAGGAAGAAGAAGAAATGGTTGGCCGTAGCATCCAACAATAATCCCCCCTTCCTCAGGTGGAAAACAATTCCAGTAGTGGATGTGGCCTGTGTAGAAAACATTCTTGCATTGGCTTGCTCAGAGGATAGCAACACTTAAAACGCCATCGACTGTTTAATCATGGATAGTCATCCAATTGGTAATTGAGATGTAATGACCATTGCAAAGAACCCGGAAAAATAGAACATATAAACAAGATATTGAACATATTAATAGCTGGATTAAACATGTTTTCAAACCCAGTGTCCAGATTGATGGGACTGCATCGGTCATGGTGTTCTTTCCAATTGCGATACTTCCTCAGGATGAATACGTTGATACTGCCACCTATCCATTTCTTCATTGATGGCTGTCGCAACTCGTCTTCCAGGATCTGTTTGACACTGTCTGGGTCAATCATGCTCGTTGAGCGGCACAGTCTTCGGGATAACAATCCCCATAATTGGTCTTGGTTGTCCAAGTCTGTCACATCAAGGGAAAAAGGTAGAACACAAATGTGCTCAATCAATGCCAAGGAGCCAATGACATCGTGGGTGTGGGAAACACGCAACATCATTGCACATGCATACCTTGCTTAAGCAGCACAAAGGATGGAAACACCAGGGCAAGCAACTATCATTGCAAAGCTCAAAGCAGCAACTAAGAACTTCAGGGAGACACATTTCAAAGGCAAGAAACCTGAGACGGCCGTGGTTGACAAGGGAGGCCAGGTAGCAAAGGCATGTGGAATTTTTTCAATTCCTTCACAGTGTTATCACCAACCACTACCACGGTATCCGGGTAGGGTTGGTGATTGGCCTTGCACTGGCTAATGACTTCTTCCAGTGTGCGCATGAGGACTTCTTGTACCATAGCTGATCCATGATATGTGATATCTTCTAAGATAGCCAACTGCAGAGTGTAGTTGAAGCACCATGCCCCATGTATCTTCAGTCGGGGACGCTGAAGCTTGCTTGCTCTATAGCATGATCGGAGTGAAGGATCCCGTGGCACATGGTACTTCGCCTCAACATGGAACTCTGCAAAAAAGTGCCCCTTGGTAAAGTGGAAAACGCACTGTTTGCCAGATGGTATCTATTTTGGCCCCACTGCCCCACATTAGTAAAGACATCCTCATCGGTCCCTGAGATGCTACAAAAGCAAAAAGATATTCTGAAGCCAACACTAAGTGTCTTGATCAGCACCATCTGTCATGATGGTGCATGTCCTAGACATTTGCTCAGCTGATATGTCCTTGATACTCCAAAACGCGCACCTGTCGGCGTATTGGTCAACGAGGTGCTTCCGGTACAATCGTAGTGCACCCAGCCTGATATCCATGGGCTGGCCTTTGTCTTGAAACCTTCACTCCCCATTCACGCATTTCACCGCAAAGGAATGACAATGAATCACAAACAGAATCAGAAACATCATGTACAGTTACAACACATCAGTCAAAAGAACTGGTTTGGACAAGTAAAAACCTTGAAAACTTGTTCAGTACATCGAAGTAGCTGGGCTTTCAGTTCCTGACACACATCGCATTGACTGAAACTGCTCTTATCTCGGAACTTCATGATCAATGTCCACTTCTGGCCCCACCGCCGCACAAATGTACCATACCTCAAAAGAAAACCAAAGCCAAAGGGGGCCCAATAAGATTCATCAAGATTCATCAATGGCAATCATAACTCATCACCAACCATTAAAACAACACATCCAATCCAGACTTGATGCGAAG